AGGGGAAACCATTGGTTTTAGGTGTATTCTTCCTAAAACTCTTGGAATATGTTAGATTGGAGAGCAATGTGAATGTATTTCCTGTATATTTAGACAGGTATGTCTTCACCATGAAGCTTAACTCTGTAGTATAGGGATCAAGGCCAGACTGAGACCTGGGGTTAGGCTCATAATTGGGCAGGCTATAAAATAGAAAAGCATTACATTAGACCTCACCTTCCTTTGGGAAGCAGGTTATTATTGACAGTTTAGTTTTATTTAAATATTCCTCTTAGTGTGGTAGAGAAGGTGTCTTATGTCACCTCACCCCAAATGACTTAAATATTTTTTCAATTATATCAGTTAAGAACTATTTTGGCTGCAAGTAACAATAGCAACAACAAAGATTAGTTTTTAAAAACAAGAGTTTATTTTCTCACATTTTTGGAAGTACAGAGATAGGCAGCATTTCACATTATTTCTGAGACTTAAGGCTGATAACTGTAATTTTCTTGTTTTTTATCTCATAGTTGCAAGATGGCTGCAGATGCACCAGTCATTTTGTCCACATTTTAATAAAGGAGAAGGAGGAAGAGAAGGGAATAGCACCTATAACAAGAAAAATATGATTTTGCTGAAACCATGGAGAGGAATAGTTCTTATTGACTTTGGCCAGAATTGTGTCCGATGTCCACATTGGCCTAAGGGAGTTGGGCAAACAAGCCTTGAGAATGATGGTGGGTCAGAGAGGAGTTCTGATTGATCTAGTTTTATTTATCTCTTTACATTCTAGTCATATGTTAGTGCCCCTGAGATATTCCAACACCTGTTATAGCCTGATCCTAAATCCTATGAGCATGCTAACAAATACAGCTATCACTTAACCCATGGGTTTACTATATGCAATGCATTTTAAGTATATTAACTCACTTAGTCCTTATAATAACTCCATGAAGTATAGTATATGATTAATATATGTATATATTATTACTTCTCACCTGAGGAATGAGGATATTTTTTCCATTGATTTTTAGAGAGAGTGGAAAGGAGGGGGGTGGGTGGAGAGAAAGAGAGAGAAGAGAAAGAAGCATTGATGTGAAAGACACATCGATTGGTTGCGTCCCACACACATACCGACAGGGAACAGGGATTGAAAGGGCAACCCAGGTACATGCCCTTGATCAGGAATCAAACCAGCGACCCTCCAGTGTGAAGGCTGGCACTCTAACCACTGAGCAACGCCAGCAAGGGCTGATTAATATTTCTGTTAGATAGGACAAGGCTCTCAAGGTCTGACCAGTTCTAAATGTTATTACTAAATGCTATTCTTGCTAAACATTAAAATATAGCACAGTATTTTGTAGATGCAGATGGAAACAGGAAGCGCTTGACAGGAACTCAACCAAATAAGTGAGTCAACTGCAAAGAAGAAATCAATATGTAATTGACTAAATAGTGTATATAAGCAAAGGCTAAGCCTTCCTTTGGGGAGACAGCTTTGAATATGTCTCCTTGCTGCAAGTAAATAAAACTACCTTGCAACAACCACTTTGCATTCGTATTTTATCGATTAAGAAATGGAGGCACAGAGATTCAATAGCATGTTCTAGGTCATAGATCTTGGAAGTGGCAGAGCCTGTATTTAAACCTGGACTGGCTGGCTTCAGAGTTTTCCCTCTAAATCTCTATATTCTTTCTCTGGAATAAAAATATGTATAGCTATATGCAGATATACAAATATCTGAGGGGACTTACGAAAGTAAGAAAGATTACTGTGGGGAAGACATTTGGACAACATGGAAAAGGCTTGAATTTAAATTCTGGCTCCTCTATCACTAGGGTCAACTAAAGGTCGTTGGCACCAATTCAACACCAATAGGAATCCCCAGTTTGGAGTGTGTTGAAGAAGGAAACTTTGTTCAGTGCAACAGCTCAATTGTTACAGAGTAGGGCTGTGAAAACAGCAAGGCTATGGGACAGCTCAATTGTGATACAGCAGGGCTGTGAAAACAGAGCTGCTGTTAGGAGGCCCTGGGGTGAGGCAGCCCTGGGCAAGGTGGCCCTGAGGTCAGGCCCCTCTCCTGCAAGACCCCTCTGCTCTGCCCTGCACTGAGTCTGATCTGCTCTTCTCTGGCCTGCTCTTCCCTGCACTGGTCTATCCTGCTGTGGTTCAGCAAGACATCTTTGGTGTTTTGTCTCCAGCCAAGACAATGAAGTCTGAAGTCTTTGGTGGAAAGGGAAAGTTCACTCTCAAGAGCCAGAGGGGAGCTGACTTATATAGACAGAAACCCCCACCCCTAGTCTCCAATTGGTGTGTCCTCATGTAAATGAGGACTCCAAATTTTTATAGTTTGATTGGTCCAAAAGGCACTGACCTGATTGGTTATAAAGGAGCTGCTCTGATTGGTTGGTGAAAAATCTGATGGGGATATAGCTGCACAGCTCCGATTGGGTAGGAACAGACTGGGTCTAGGATTCCAGGAACTCCTTTTTGAAGGCTGGCTCCAATGGCAGGAACATAGTGCGGGCAGACAGTTTAGTGCAGAGGCAGGTAGTTCAGTGCTGGCTTCTCCCTGAAGTGCAGCTTGAATGAGAGGCTCCTCTGTAGAAATGGCTGTTTTTTAAAAATGTGTGCTCAGTTAGCCACCTAGATCTCCAGTAATCATTAAAATAGAATACAATTTATTCCTTAAAAGATAATTGAGGAAAATACAATAATAAAATGTATTTTTAAATGCCACTTTGAAGTTATGGTAATTAGCATGAAGTTAAAATCTAATCTTAAACCTAATGGTGTTTTTCCCAAAAATAATTGCTCTGTAATACATTTGTATTCTGTTTTCATGTAATGTTTTCCTGGAATTGTTATGAAATTAAAAAAAAATACAAACAGCTGACAAAGCTTAGACTCTATTTATCCTAATATGGAGAGGTATGCAACGCCAAATTAAAGCTCATCGAAGTGTTGGATGAGCCTGAGGATCACAATTACTAGTATGTGATGCTTCAAAAATGGAAGGTCATGGTCTCTACTCCCTGCGATGAAGGAGGAAATATTTGTATCCTTAACTAAGAAAGTGAGAACTCTTCCAAATGTGCTTATCCAAAAAATGCTGTCTGTGTACTTTGCCAAAAAAGAATAGTTGATCATTGCAATTAAAGCATTCTTTAGGTGGATTGTCTCAGATGAAACCAGCGTGTTACTCAGATACTCATGATCTGTATTTCATGTCTGTTCCCCCAGCCCTCAGCAGTTTTATGATAATGTCTTCTGAGTATACCCTTTGCCTCCTCACCCCAGTAGGATCCCTCTACCTATGCAGGTGGTGATTCAGTTCTCCCTGAACTGTTCAGGGGTCTCTGTGCTACAGGTTGATGTCCCACTTCCCTAGGTTTCTTGTGTGTGTGTGTGTGTGTGTGTTTGTGTGTGTGTGTGTTTTTAAAAAATATATTTTATTGATTTTTTTACACAGAGGAAGGGAGAGGGATAGAGAGTTAGAAACATCGGTGAGAGAGAAACATCAATCAGCAGCCTCCTGCACACCCCCTACTGGGGATGTGCCCGCAACCAAGGTACATGCCCTTGACCAGTATCGAACCTGGGACCTTTCAGTCTGTAGGCCGACGCTCTATCCACTGAGCCAAACCGGTTAGGGCTGTTTTTTGTTTTTAATCCTCACCAGAGGATATTTTCCCATTGACTTTTCAGAGAGAGTGGAAGACAGAGAAAGGCAGAGAGAGAAACATTGATGTAAGAGAGACACATCAATTGGTTGCCTTCTGCATGTGCCCCGACCAGGGCCGGAGATTGAGCCTGCAACCGAGGTATGTGCCCTTGACCAGAATCGAACCTGGGACCCTTCAGTCCACAGGCTGACACTCTATCCACTGAGCCAAACTGGCTAGGGCAAGGGTTTTCCATTAAATATTATATATTATTTCCTATCACTATCTCATTATCTCAAAAGGCAACATAAAAATTTGTTTTCAATTAAAAAATTCTGGTAAAGAACACATGAGATAAAATTTACCATCTTAATTATTTTAAGCTTGTATTAAGTACATTCACATTGTTGCACAACCATCTCCACCGTCCAACTCCAGAACTAGTTTCATCTTGAGAAAATAAAACTTGGTACTCATTAAGCAACTACCCATCCCCTCCTCCCCCAACCCTGGGAACCACCGTTCTACTTTCTGCCTCTATGAATTTGACTACGCTAGGAATCTCATCTAAGTGGAGTTTCTAGTATTGTCTTATTGTGCCTGGCTTATTTCACTTAGCATAAAGGCTTCAAGTTTCATTAATGTTGTAGCATGGAGCAGAATTTCTTTCCTTTTTAATGCTGAATTGTTTGTATTAGATGCCATATTTTTTTTATCCATTCATTCAATGACAGCCATTTGGGTTGTTTATACCTTGTGGTTTTTGCAAATAATGCTGCTATGAACATGGACTTACAAAAACTGTCTTTGAGACCCTGCTTTCAATTCTTTTGTCCTTTTACCCAGAAATAGAATTGCTGGATCATATAGTAATTCTATGTTCAAAATTTTTAGGAGCCTCCATATTGTTTTCGACAACAGCTATACCATTTTACATTCCTACCAACAATGCACAGGAGTTTCAGTTTCTCCACATTCTCATCAACATTGTTGTTTTTGTTTATTTTTTGTGACAACCCTAATAGGTGTGAGCAGTCAACCTTTTACCTCCTCTGTCATCATCTTAGATCCCTTACAGAGACAGACCATGTATGTTTTGACTAATACAAATAACTTTCTACTTTCTGAGTGTGTGAAAATTTTCAAAGTGTTTTTATGGTAAGTCCTGATGGCCACAGAGTCATTATGAATTAGAAAAGGATTTTAAAAAAGGACACCACTGAATGGAAATTTTCCCCTCAAACCCCTCTCATTCACACTGACTCCGTTTCTTCACTGATTTTAAACCTGAATTGAATTTTGTGATTTATGACATAAAAGATACTGATTTTAATTCACAGATATTCTTTCCTCAGAAAATCCATTCCTCGCTGCCGAAGAATTAACAGGATGCTCTCCAATGAATCCCTACACTCTCCTGCGTTCAGCCGCACCAACTCACAAGCCTCCGTGGACAGCGCCTCCATGGACAGCGCCTCCATGGAGGATTTCTGGCGGGAAATAGAAAGTATTAAAGAGAACAGCATGGGAGGGCAGGAAGAGCCGGCGCCAGCTGAGGTCAAGCCTGTGGATGGTAAGTGCGAGATTCCTTTTCTTGTCTGCTGACTTACTTTCTTTGTATGCTCTCTCTTGTTCTGTCAGCAGGTAAAACTCATTTCATTAGTAATTTAACAAATGAATTTATTAGAATTCAGCATATCAGCTATCTGTTCCCACTGATTTATATCTACTGGACTGACTCAAAGTGGCTTCTTTTTTAAAATATATTTTTATTGATTTCAGAGAGGAAGGGAGAAGGAGAGAGATAGAAACATCAATGATGAGAGAGAATCAGCTGCCTCCTGCACGCCCCACACTGGGGATTGTGCCTGCAACCTAGGCATGTGTCCTGACCAGGAATCGAACCGTGACCTCCTGGTTCATAGGTCGATGTTCAACCACTGAGCCACGCTGGACAGGCAATTCCCTTTTTAATATGGTTCACCAACTAACTTACTGATGTGGTGGATTGGTACAGAATCCTACAACTTAGGTTCACCTTTGCATTTTCTGTTAAAGGACAGTTTATAAAGCAAATGAGTAATAAAAACAAGAGAGAAAATGAAGGTTTGCCTAGCTAAGAAATTGGAGCTGTGAAGCACATTGGAGACTTTGGATCACATACCAGTGCTACAATACTGTAAGCATGTCCAAGACTACTAGGCTGATACTTGGACAGGCATTTACAAATCCGTCCAATCTGCTCTTTAGACAAACCTCATTCAGGAATGCCTGTTTAGCATAGTTCCCCAAATTGTATGTGCAGGTGGATTTGCTGTTACAAGATATTGTTATTCTGAATCCTTTATTATTTCTGTACCTCTAATTTACAATAGCGATTGATTCTTATTATGACTAATTTTGCATTTTTTAATTGCCTTCTGAAAAAATGGAAAGATTACCTAACGTTCAGAATAAGGAGAAAGTAAGAGAACAAATAACTGTTGAACCACATACGCTGTTCAAGGTTTTTTACCATTTGTCATAATGGTAAAACAATCCTCATAACCGAGTAAAAATTTTGTTATTATTACCTCTATTTTGCCAATAACACACTGAAGCGAAAAGATATCTTAAAACCTTCCAAATCCATGTATCTGTAAATAGTAGCATTGTGATTTGAACCTGCCTTTGAGTGAATAAAAGTCCTTTTGGATGCTGTTTAAACCCCTATTTTTCTATTATGGTTTTAGTTTAAATATTCATATTTTTTCCTCTTTTGAATTGATAGTCCAGATATAGCTTATATTTAACTGTCTGGCCAAGAAAAAAACCTTACTCAATCTGCCAATTAACCTTATTGTACTAGAAAATACTTTAAAATTTGACTTATTTAAAAAATACAATATAAATTTTCATTCATTTTAATAGGCCTTTTCTGTAATTTGGGGGGAAAGGACAGTCTTAATATATTGACTATTGATATTTCTTATTCACAGATATGCACAGATCTACAGATACACACCTCATCCAACCAGACAGAGAATGTGCTAACCTCCTCTTGGTCATGTTATTTTTCAGAAGGAGAACTTGAAGCAGAGTGGTTGCAAGATGTGGGTTTATCAACCCTGATCTCAGGTGATGAAGAGGAGGATGGCAAAGCCTTGCTCTCCACATTGACTCGAACCCAAGCAGCTGCAGTGAAAAAGAGATATAATACTTACACTCAAACCATGAGAAAAAAGAACAAGCAGTCTATCAGGGATGTCAGAGACATCTTTGGAGTCAGCGAATCTCCTGTAAGTAATGAACATGGCTCAAAAGGTTTGGTTTGGTTGGGGAAGAAGATGAAGGAGGGAAATGGAAAACATATCATCATCTAGGTTTTAAAGAAAACTAAAGCAGACAGCACAGTCCAAAATTTTACAAATTTGAAACGTAAGCTATCCCATTCCTTATCCCATTCATCAATCTCCCTCAACATTAAATGTATTCCCTTCTTCACTGAAGTTACAGAATAACTTTTTGGCAACAGAGCAAGTCTTTGTGGATGGGCTACACAGAGCCTTTACTTAAATCTAAGTCCTGAATGGAAACAGGTAAAAGAGCCCTGGGAAAGTGGCCCCAGTATTATTAGAAGTCTGGGTGGTTTGTTTTAAATGGAGGTGGAGGTGGAAGAGTAAGTAAGATAGCCTTTATGGTCAAATAAGTTAAAAAGGTAAAAAATGGAAAGGTATGAGCATTAATTAAGTAGGAGACAGATGATTCATAAAAAGCATGAGGGAAGCATGACATGTTTCATGAGGAATGGCTGGTTGAAATTCCACCTTACCTGAGAGTTCCAAGGCCACACTTTTACTTCTGAGGCTGTTAATCATGTTCTCCTATTTCTATGTTTGTTTCATTGCAAACTCTGCCTTACAACTCATTCATTCATTCATTCATTCATTCATTTATTGCATCATTGCAATGTTGTATTGCATCATCATTGATGCAAAAAATAGTTATTGGACACATTATCTGTGCAAAGTCCTATGTTAGGTTCTATAAAGATGAGATTTTTAGAACTTTGAGGGTAATTAGTATAAAGATAAAAGGAAACTTGATATTCTGCTGCAGTTACAAATAAATTTCCCTGGACAAGTTAGTTAATCATCTGAGTTAGGTTTTTCACCTGTGTAATTATAATATCAATAATAACATAAATTAAAATTTCAAGGATATTGGGTAGCAAGCATAGGTGAAGCCAGTTTCCGATTTGAGTTACTTTAGGTTGTCTATGTCATATCTTCCCTTAGACATATTGATCACATTGGGTAGTTGCCAGGGAAGCTCACATATACTTTATTAACCTTTGCATTTGTGCTAAGAATAGCACTATCCTGTAGAACTTGCTATAGTGATAGAAATGATCTATTTCTGTGCTGTCCAATATGGTAGCCACATTCACAGGTGGCACTAGCATTCGAAATATGGCTGGTGTGACTAAGGAACTGAATTTTTATTTTTATTTTCTCTTTATTGACTTAAATCTAAATAGTTACATGTGGCTGATAGCTAATGAATTGAATAGCATGGTTCTAGAATCCTATATAATAAAAGAGAAACATGTAAATTGACCACCCCTTCGCTATGCTCACCAGCCAATCAGGAGTGAATATTCAAATTAACCCAACAAAGATGGTGGGTTAATTTGCATACGCAGGCACTGGGCAGAAAGCAGAAATGGGAAAGCCGGCAGCTTGGTGGGACGTGGCTCCCTTGGTCGGTCACTCCCAGCGCTGGGAACACCAGGAATTCTGGGAATAGTAGTTCTGATGGCAGCCCCAGGACTGGAAGCAGAAGCCCAGAGCGCGGGGAGCACCAGGAATGCTGGCAATCATAGTTCTGGTGGCAGACGGATCTCCTAGACCAGTGGTCAGCAAACTGCAGCTCTCGAGCCACATGCAGGTCTTTGGCCCCTTGAGTGTGGCTCTTCCACAAAATAGCATAGTGATAAATCACAAAAACAATATGTAATTATATATGTGTTTTCCGATGGTCTTAGGCGATCCCTGTGAAAGGGTCATTTGACCCCCAAAGGGGTCGCGACCCATAGGTTGAGAACCGCTGTCCTAGACACTAGAGCAAAATGAGCCTGGAGCAAGTTACTGTTGCAGTGGGGGATGGAGGGAAAACAAAGGTGACAGATATAAGTAAAATCAGAGTGTCTAGGAAAAATTAAAGGGGAGATATCCTAAAACTTCCAGGAAATCTCTACCAATGAAGCAAAGAAAAAAAAAAAGCCTCTATTATTCTGTGAGCAACAAACCAAACTGGGTTTGGGATCTCAGACAATTCGCTCATATGATTGCAAAGACAGACAGAAACTCCCAGATTGGAGAGGGCTCCCCTGAGGGCTCCCCGATTGGAGAGGGTGAAGGTCAGGCTGAGGGACCCACCCCCAGTGCACGAATCTTTGTGCACCGGGCCCCTAGTCTTCTATATAATGATATGCCTTGAAGTAAGTGTGTTTTGAGTTCTGTGATGTTTGAATTTTCAAACTACCTGAAACCTATGTCGTCCTGGATGGTGAGATTTTCTACAGCTATAATTAAATAAATAAAGGTGATGCCCACTACTTAAGGCAAGGGCTCCAGCCACAGGTTCCCAGCCAAGATGTCTATCCAGGAAAAGGTTTACACTGCTGGTTTAAATTCCCTGGGTCATTTTCCAGTTATCTCCCAGATCATCAGGAGAGAGTCCTGAGAAATGGGGTACATGCTTTCCTTTCCACTTCTATTTCCAGCTACCTCAGACAAAGGTTGTTGCTCTTCCCTATAAAACTACAAAATAGCAAAGGGTCTGTAGGCTTCTCCCAAATCCTCCAATTACTCAAGAAAATGCACAGCTGGCCTCTTTAGGGTTCCTAAAACTTTGGACAGATAGTAACAGGATCAGGGAGGGAAAGAGATCTTTTGGGGCTCCTTCCTCTTCTTTCACTTAGACCCTGAAGGGAAACATAAAATAGGCACTTCCCCATTAGGGCTTTAGGTATCAAAATAAATGGGTCTTTTCTTTTTACCTCATGCACAGGTGCATACACTATTTGGTGTTCTCAACTCCAGAGAGGGCCTAAGACAGTGCCTCTGTGATGGTGGAGGTGGCCAGGGAGGGGTGGCTCTTCCTCCTGTTTTTTAATTGTTTCGTTCCTCCACTTCCTCCTGTCCTCTTCCTCTTCTCCCTTCCGGTCCTGCTGCAGAAGCCCTAGCCCTAGGTGAACTGAGAATGGGAATGAGGCAGGAGGTGTGGTCGAAGGTAAAAGAAAGGCCAGGTACTCAAGAAGCAGAGGTCTAGTGCTATCCTGGCAAATGGGCCTCAAAGTCAGTGAAAGCCCAGCATTGTATATGCTGCTTACAAATTCAGTTGTTCTTTGTCAAATTGTAAGCAGCAATATTTTTAAAAATATGTACATTTACAATATATAAAGCCTAAAGATCATCTTCACAGATTTTCCCCCTTAGTATCTCTTTCTCCAAGTAAAGAGATGTGCAAGTTTTTTAGGAATGTACCTAAATTTTTCAGTTTCCTATTTGATTTGGCAGCATAAATACCAATTCCTCCCCCTCCTTCTTTTTTTCAAAGTATCTGCCCTGATCTGTCTTTTTGTGTGTCCTCCTCCTCTCCTCCCCTCCTCTTCCTCTTCCTTCTCCTTCTCCTACCCTCTCATCCTCTCTCCTTCTCATATTCTCTACTACTCTTTATTCTTTTTTTCTGGCATCATTTATCTACATTAATAGATTACCTAAAATTCTCCATTTCACTTTCTTAATGAAACTTTAACATAATTTTCATAGGGTAATTTTGAACTAATCTTAGGCATATGAATTTGACCTAACAAACTTACCTAGTGGAGATATAAACTCAATGATTTGACAGATAGATACGTAGATTATCCTAGTTGTTCTCTTCATTTTTTGCACATAGAAGCGTATGCTCAAAATAATTTTTCTTCAGAATTTTGAAGATATTTGTCCAATATCTTCTCTCCTGCACCATTGCAGCAATGTCTATATCAATCTCATTTCTTTATATGCAGATGTGGAAGCTTTTTAAATTTTATTTTTTATCATTGGAACCTTGAACTTCTACCTGTTTCACCTTTTTGAAAAATTCATCCTGGTCACTACTAACTGAGCTCTTGCAATCTGAGGGCTCGTTCATTCTTCAGGTTCTACATATTTTCTTCTAACATTTAAAACAAGTATTGATTCCGTTCATTTTCTCAGTTATCTCCTTTTGGAATTCTGTTAGATAATTGCTGTATTGCTTGGATTGAACCTCTGTTTCTCTTAAATGTTCTCATATATTCCAAGCTTTGTTTGTGTGTATGTTTGATCGGCCTTTTTTGATATCCCTTCAGCCTCATTTTTTATGTTAGTAATTTTCCATGGTTGTATGCATACTTCTGCCTTTCATTTATTTAAAAAGATTTAACAGTCATTTTGTTAGTTTATCATAGGCTCTCCTTACCCTTGACTTCCCTAGGGGCTGAGGATCAAACCTGCAACCCAGCCATGTGCCCATGATTGGGAATCGAACCTTTGACCATTTGCTGTGCAGGCTGTCGCTCTATCCACTGAGCCAGGGCTATTTTCATTCTTAATATGTGCCTTTTTTCTGGATCAGCATTCACCTTTTGCACATATTCCTCCTGTGGAAGTTTTGTAGATTTTTAAAAGCTTCCTGTACCTTTTTTCAAGCTGAGGTTTTCCTCTATTCTTATCAAACCATTCTTGCTTGCTTTTTATCTTCCAGGAACATTCAACAGTTCTCTTCTACTAATGGAAATGTTTAGTGGTTTCTAGATCTACTCTTTGAAAAAGGTATCTCTTTTAACACTTTGAGTGATTTGCAGGGAGACCCGAAAGTGGTATATATAATTCGCTATCTTGATCCAACTCCCCTATGCTAATTCTTCAGTAGGATTTGTTTCTTTCAAAAAATATTTTTCCTTATTATAAAAGTAATATTAATCTTTACTAGAAGCTTAGAAAATATAGAGAGGCAAGGTAAATTATGACTATTTCTATGGATCCAAATAAAATTTTATAATTACATTAAATATACAATAAATTTTATTTTCAATGGAGTGCTGACCATAAAGGAATAGAATATTTAACCCTTGTTTTGGTACAGCCATTATATACTAAATCACAAATACTAAATCAACCTCTGGACACATAACACAAGGTCTACAGTCTTATTCATCACAAACAGAATTCCATTGCCTAGATACATTTTTGTAATATTCAGAAGA